CCTTTTTTTTAAATCGGCCCGAACGTGAAAAAATAAGGGGTCTTTTTTGAGTGTTCCAGCGCTTCGGAGGCGATAACTCAAGCTGAAGTTGACAAAACCCTATGATGTTATACATTTTCTGAAAGCTCTCGTCACGCTGAACACGCTCGTTTAAACCGCGTTTTTCAAAACTTCTTGGTTTTCGAGCAATAAAGTCGCGAAAATTTTGCCGGTTTTTAACTTTGACTCCTAGCCGCTTCTCCCCAAAATTTTTGGGAGGCTTGAAACTTTGGGAAAAGATGGGGCATTGTTAGGTGAATGAATAGGGCAAGTCTCAAAGGTATCCGCCCCGATCCCCAAATGGCCCGTTTTGCACGTAGTCCTTTCATTTTTCTACGAGCAGCCGTTCAAAAGTTAGCCGGCCGTCCCGTAATACTTCTTATTGCCCACCCTGTATATGTTCTGTAACACTGGACTTGAGAGTTATAGGGTTGTCTAACATATTATAAGGCTAATGCAGGTCTTCCTCAAACCCCTGAGTGTAAGTAAATGCTGGAATAGGTATTTTCTTTTTGAAATAAATCCTCCGTTAAATTGATACTTGACCAGAGAAACTTTATCGAAACATATGTCTGTCTTGTCCATATAGTACGTAGCGTCGTGATGTGAGTGGGAGAACTGGAACAACTTAAAAGCATTCTTCTGGTCCCGAATTCCGTGACTCCTGTGTCACGCCAGGTCACTTTTTCGATACATAATCGATTGTTTGCGGTGTACGGCCGACGGCCGCCCAATGTAAACAAAGAGGATAGGATTCACCGGGCTCGGGCGCACACCGGGCTCGGAACTCGTCGTCCAGGACATGGTCCCAGCTCTCCCATTCATATTACGACTCTATGTACTCTATGGTCTTATCAAGAGAATGTCGTATCCTTAAACCGAGATGGCAACAAGGTGTCCTTAGTTCCCGAAAATGAAAAGACCTGGGGTCAAGGCCGAAGTAGGACTGGGGAAGGTTGCGTCAAGGAGTGAATGCTCGTAGAAGTTTTTCCTCCTTTTTTCATGGTAGCATCGAGCACTTGTAGCTTGTAGTGGGCGTTCACTGAACCATAAAAAATAATTTGAGACGTCTGATGAGACGCGCCGCCTTTCTCAGCCGCTCGGCAGTTCGACTGTCTTCTGGTGCAATGGTGCATCCGCCCAAACGAATTCACTCCTTTGATACCTAACTCCCGTATCCAATCTTCAAATTTTCTCTCTTAGTTTTTATTTTTGGTAATATTTTGTTGGAAATTAGCTATCCTTTTCACATATGCCATATTAAATTCACCTGAGCGACAAGCTATTACTACTAGGGATCATCGCTTTTTATTAGATTTTACGGACGTTTGAACGCGGAGGTTTTTCTCCATCTTTGACAATCAAGGCCGACTGGAGGACAGGATGAGCTAGACGGTTGATTTCGGTGAGCATACCAAAATGTTGGCCTAAGGCTCGTATTCATTGTCGTTCTTACAATAGATCCATTTGGAGGCCCCATTTGGTTTACACTTGTGCTCAAGGGGAGGTTAAAAGAAGACCTCAAAATGTAAAGGAAAATTTTTGCCAACCTCGAATACGATTCAGCAGTATAACTTAGAAAATGGATCCTTGCAAGGGATTACAATGATTTGCCACTTCAAAAAATCCAAATTACGGAAGAAAAAAGTCTGATTTTAATAAACTTCAAGGACGGTGCGGCGACCTTCTTACCTTTAAATTTACAAAACTACAATATCTTTTCTTTCGTATTTTGTATTTTTTGAAGTGGCGAGTCATTCTAATCTCATTCCGGCAAAAATTGTTCTTTTTATGAAGTCATTTTGAGAGTTTTCTGAAACCTCCCTTCATGTAAATGTAAAACCAAAAGGGGTCTCCTAAGGTACGAGGCATCAAGAAAACTATTCTAATACGACACTGCCATGGATGCCTCGATCCCTGCCAGAACCTCAAAGGTGGAGGAAACTGTCTTCGACGAGATCCGTGGATCTGAGATCCACTTACACAAGCGCATGTTCTTCAACAAGTAGTTGGATTCGCCTTCCTTTCGCTTGCTGTACAAGACTCATAATTGGACGTATTTCTATCAAACAGAACTATGTGCAGGTGGGAAAGATGGAGTGTGCTCGTTAATGCTCGGGCCATAAGAATGATTAGGAAACACAAAGCGCCAGTGACAAATCTGCCGCTCCAGTTGCCGGGCTTCCTCTTTAACTCATGAGCCCTGTCCACAATGCTCTTGACACATGCCCACGGCTCATGGAGTGTGCACATAGTTCCGTTGGACAGAATGTAAAATCCCGTTTTTCTAATTCAGCAAACGGAACTGTGTGCCGACTGAATACAAAACTCATGAGCCGTGGGCATAAGTTAAGAGCGTTGTGGACGGGGCTCATGAGTTAAAGAGGAAGCCCGGCAACTGGAGCGGCAGATTCGTCACTGGCGCTTTATATTTCCTAATCACTCTTATGGCCCGAGCACTAACGAGCACACCCCATCTTTTCCACCGGCACATAGTTCTGTTTGACTGAAATACGTCCAATTATTCCAAGCGTTAATGGTATCATCGGAGACTTTAACGCGGGGTGAAGAACAAATGCGGCTTCCGCAGTTTCATATTGCGAATGAATTTATCGTCAAATACATCCTTCTCTACAGAAATAAATTCCAGCGGCAAAAAAGAAAGAAGAAGGCAAACGAATAATAATTGTGTGGGTCTTCAAATCTACTTACTTATGGTTGCGCCAATATCGGTCTTTCTCCCGGAAAACGCATTCATGACACCAGACCTCAACTGGTTAAAACCGGTGAGGGGTCTCCCCTGTGCCCCATCAGAGAAGCCTTTTGGGGGTGACGGGCCCCTCAAATCCGGATTTCTCGGGGTCGCTTGCGTATGAAAATATCTTTTTCCGAGCCTCTACCTACGTGAATTTAGCAAACTTCCATTTTTTCATGGGGGCTGAGTCCCCCACCTGTAAGGGTCAGTATTTCGGACAGGGTTGGTTCAATTTTGGATTTCTTGATGGCAACTTGGGTTAAAATTTTCCATTCTTTCCGATTCCGATGAAATACATAGGCTGTCCCAAAAAGAAGTGGACTGATGCTGTAATTTCCGAACTGATCATCGCAGCGATCTTTTCTTGGTCGCGTTTTAAAGATCAACTCAATACCTATCGATTAAGACCAATATCATCAAAATCGGTCAAAAATTGACCGAGTTATGACGTTTTCCGTGAGAGGAGTAAAAATTCAGCCTACCGTTTTTTGAAGAAAAAATCATACCGAGAGTTACGCGTGTCAAGCTTCATCTCCACTGTAACTTCTCTCCTGTAATGTTTTCCTTCATCAGTGATACAATATGACTAAAAACCTGTCGGTAACAGTGTCTAGTCGGTGTCCGACTCATGCCGTAACCATAGCGACCAGGGAGGACCGGGGAGACTCGCGCAGAATTCGGCGACAACTTCGCCCGCCAGCGACAGTTTTCGAGTGCGCGCGCTCAGTACAGTGGCAATTTGTTCTTGCCGTTTTCATTCGTTTTTTCGGGATTATGGAAAAGCACAGTGAAATTGTGAAAGAACAGACAATTTCACTGTCCTTTTCCATAATCCCGAAAAAACGAATGAAAACGGCACGAACAAATTGCCACTGTACTGAGCGCGCGCACTCGAAAACTGTCGCTGGCGGGCGAAGTTGTCGCCGAATTCTGCGCGAGTCTCCCCGGTCCTCCCTGGTCGCTATGGTTACGGCATGAGTCGGACACCGACTAGACACTGTATCACTGATGAAGGAAAACATTACAGGAGAGAAGTTACAGTGGAGATGAAGCTTGACACGCGTAACTCTCGGTATGATTTTTTCTTCAAAAAACGGTAGGCTGAATTTTTACTCCTCTCACGGAAAACGTCATAACTCGGTCAATTTTTGACCGATTTTGATGATCTTGGTCTTAATCGATAGGTATTGAGTTGATCTTTAAAACGCGACCAAGAAAAGATCGCTGCAATGATCAGTTCGGAAATTACAGCATCAGTCCACTTCTTTTTGGGACAGCCTATGTAGTTTCAGAATTTTGACGCGAATCCCGACTTTTGAAGCACAGGGGCCCCCCTATCACGCCTGAAGAGAAGCCGAGGGCTGCGGGACCATGAAATTCAGATTATTTGGGGTCGATTCTGTGTTTGTCACTGCGGTCCTGGACTTCGTCCGACCTAAAATAACCGAGGAAAAGGCCCAGTACGGTAGGTCTGGGCCGATCCTGTACAATGTGCATACGTTAAACTGAAGGGAGTTCAATGAAGTACAACCGTCAGGGCCTAGAAACCAAGGATTCTGACAAATATTGTGCATTGAATCTCGATCCTTTTTTTCTTCCAGAATCGAAGGAGGTAGGAAGTGAGGAAGTTAGAAAAGACTACTGTCCGATCAACGGGAAATTTACATTCATCTATAACATCAATGATGGATCCGAGAACAATACGGAGTGCATGATTGCCGTTTCTGAGCTGGACAACTGTCCCAATGGATCCGAACTCAATCTCCGCTTCCGGAAGTGCTCTTTCGATAATCATGGTAAAATTATTTCTATTCTATTAAGTATCATTATCTTTATTTTAATTTTTATATATTACGTCCTTTACGCAGTGGAGGGTTCTTTAAAGAATCCGAGATCGATTGTAACCCCTTGTTAAACCCCACGAATTTTTAATTATTGTAAATGTTTTCAAATGCTCCATCGAATTTCTTTAATTTTCTCCGATGGTAGGCAACTTAAAATCAAAACCCTAAAAGGAGGGGTATCGATAAGGGCCTTTTTTGCCCCCCCCCCTCCCTAGAATCTGGAAGTTTATGCGGGTTTTCCAAGTTTACTCAGAGTAGTTTACGGATATAATCAAGATTTGGTCCATAGGCTACTGGATACGTGTTAAACGGTTGCCTGAACATACGTCTGCAGGCGCATTTTTGGTTTCTATACTACTTTGTGGCTGTTTAGACACCGAGCGCATCGTCTAACTAAAATGAGCTTTTAATATGTTATCAAGGAGGCTTTAGGACACATTTTAAACTTGGTTCGGTTTTAGTTAGATGATGCGCTTATAGGTGAATTTTTTTTTTTCAAATGTCGAATGTAATAGATGTAATAGAAAAACACGCATTTTCGATAAAATACGCCTGCAGACGTATGTTCAGGCAACCGTTTAACACGTATCCAGTGGCCTATGGTGATTCCACATCATGATTATTTGCGTAAACTACATTGAGTCAACTTGGAAAACCCGCATAAATTTCCAGATTCTAGGGGGAGCCAAAAAAGGTCCTCGGGGGGGGGGGGCGGCAAAAAGGCCCCTATCGATACCCCTCCTTTTGAGCGCTGTATTGACAAGTGACCACCCTAGTAACAAGGCGGATAAAGAATAGAGTCCCTTTATACCCAGAGTTAAGACCACTCAATTCTGGTTGGCCATCGTTTCACAAAAGTGTGCACCCAAACGAACGATGTAACGGGATAAGGAATCCTGCGATGTCTGTCATCCAAAAACTCCAACATCCTTACAACTGATCAAATCCTGACCAAAGAAATTGCAATAAAAAAAATGAGATTGATTTGTGAATAATTTCTTAATCTATTTTCCTTATGGTGCGATGAAAATAACAATGTGCTCTTGATAAATCACAATTAGGTTATGTTTTCATTATTTTTCTTCACATTCGAGCCAACGCAAAGACATAAAGACGGAGCGCTAAAAGCAAAAAATGAAGCTTCTTTTCAATCACCTCTACTATTGGCTATAGGATTGGCGGCGAAATTGGGACAAGTTTGAAATTCAAATATAGGGCGGGAACTAAATAAAATTGCGGAAACAAAGTATTTTAGGTTGATTTTTTCCCAAATTCACTTACACACTCATATTTGTATAACTTTAGGTTAGTTTTGGTCCGTCGTCGACCGATTAATTTCATTTGGGAGTAACTGTCATCTACGACCGTAACGGCCTGTTTGAACCGGCAGAACCACCATGAGCAGAAGAAAAACTAACTTTATCTGATATTACTGCCTGTTACCGAGCAAAAGTAGGTGTATTATAATAGGACGCAGTCCCAACTTTCTTAAAATATTCGCTTTAGGCATTTAAAATACGTTTCGAAGAAGAAATGTGGAAAAATCAAGAGGACAAGTTCAAATCAAATTTCCGTTTGCCGCCATGGATTCCCGCGCTCATTTACACACTCACACAAGCACCCAGCGCCAAACCAGGCTTCACTTTTTCCCCGTGCTTTTAGATACGAGCACTCCGTCTTTATGTCTTAGAGCCACCGCCGTCTTGGTGCACACTTTTGTAACACTATAAGCGAGAAGCAATCAGAATTGGATTTTTTAAGCCATTTTAAGCCCAACCAGAATTGAGTTGTCTGAACTCCGGGTACACAGGGACTCTAATAAAACATGGTGGTCGCATGCCGATTTTGGCTGCCATCTAGAAGATTTGTGACGTCAGGAGGGTACGAGTTTTGCCGTGCAATCCGAGGCCAAACCGTAGCGCGCGGCAGATTGGGCTGACCCACTCGATCGGCCCATGAACCTGATGTGCCCGATGCCCCAATAACGCTGTAGTTATGAGGTAACTCCCAGTGACTTTTCTGAGCATGTGCGTTACATGCCATTTTTTGAATTTTTAATCATGGACCGAAAAATAGTGACAAATACAAATTTGCACAATTTAGTGTTGTCAGATAAGCCCGCAAATGCAAGGATAGGCATGCAAGCAGCAGACAAATCCTGTCCTAGTCGGCTAAACTGAGAGGCCAGCGGGATTTACACTTTTTTCAAGTTTAAAATTCCGAGTTGAGCTCGATTTTTCTGACACCCCAGTTCTGGGGTTCTTTTAACGTCGGAGGGAGACCGCCGCCCTCCCACTTTAGACGCGTCAGCGTCATCACTGATCAAATTCATCATGGGCTGGTACGTGCCGAGCACTGTCAAGATGCCCTCCTATTAATGCCTCTAGTATTCGAATTGTTGAAGGAAGCCATAAGACTATCCCCCACCGTCTTTTCGCGTAAGGGATTTTTCAGCCACTGAAAAAAAACTACGACCGTGGAAGCCGTATTTACTGGCTATATAGACATACTGTCTGCGTTCGGGGCTCAGAGGCCGAAAGTTCCGGGTGTAGCACCCGGAGCAGTCGAAGCAAGCTTCAGCTCGCGGAACCTTTGGCCTCAGAGCCCGGAACGGACGGTATGTCTATGTACAGCCCGTAACTTTGTTCTCAGTGCCTGCACACGTTTTCACCCGAGATTTTTTAACCCGCGGATATTTACCCACATATCATTTATTCGTGATTTCAAACTAATTGCAGTAGACGCACAAGTCGTAAAGACAGTAAGTTGGAATTATTATTATTTTTTTTTTTTTTTTCATCCACAAATATTCCAACTGGCCGTATTCGTGATTTGTTACGTATATAAGCATTTTAATCAAATAAATTTGGCTTTTAAAATTTCAATAACATTTTCATCAAGTAAGTGTGATTAAAATTGATATTACACCCACATGGCTCAAAGAGAAATGCAAAATCCGCACACTGTCAAGAATTTTAACATCCCTTGACCTTCCATCTTGCCAGTATAACTGTTTAATTATAGGTGGTAAAATGGTGCTGGATTCACTTCATATTGCTGGGAAAACAAAGCCAAATAGTTCTAAAATTTCAATTAGAGTCAAAAATGTTGAGCTCTAATGAGCACCAGGGCAATAATTAGAAATAGGGAATATTTTTATTCCTGATCTTTTATTAGCATATAACCATGTTTTACTCCCATATTTTTGGCCTAAATATGAAGAAAATTCTTTTCCTTAAAAGTGACATCAAAAAATTGTTTAATATTCATCAGTTTTTGTAATTTTTTACCCTTTTAATGGTATTAAACTCATGACCGACCCGCATCCTGACACTTTGGTTCCACTGCACTATGGTTTTTACTGTTACAAGTCAAAGAGTAAAACGTTATTCGAGAACTTACACATCATTAAATAATTACAAACGTTTCTGCATTGTAAATAAAAAAAAAGAATTCAAAAAATCCGCAGTATGACTGGTTCATAAGCAGATAAGAGCAGTCAAAAAAGTTTACTCGCGATCGTCACAGCTAGACTCGAGAGATGAATGCTCATACCAAAAAGCGTGTAAGTAGCGCAACCGGTATGCGGTCGGCGTCGGTGATGCCCAGGGATGCCCTAAAGTGGGGCGAAGTATTTATCTTTATCAGATTGAAGTTTTTGGTGAATCGCGATGACACCAGTTGGCAAGTAATAATTCTGTTCAATTGGGAGCTCACAACCATCATGCTCGTTATTTTTATTTTGAAATGTTTTTCATTGAAATCATGTACGCCATTTGTTAAAGGGTATGATCCAAGCTAAAAATCTGGTGCTCATTTGTTAGTTTTCAAAGATGGCGGCTTGTGCTGCGTTTTTGTTTCAAAACTCACGACCGTCACACGCTTACAACCGCCATAAATAGCTGAAATTTGAATAGGGAAAACTGTGTAAAATTAAAAAAAAAAAAATCCGAAAACATTGGGACCATACTTATGGTTTATAAATCCCAGAAATCGTCCAGAATGAGGAAAACATAACTTCCGAGGGAAGTGATGAACTTTATTTTCTTAATATTCTCACTCCGAAATGTCCCCTATTTTGAATTTTCGTCCATCAGTACAAGACTGAGGGGGGAGAGTGTTCAGCTCAGGCAGCCTACTCATTAGAGCTCAAAATTGATTACTATAATTGAAATTTTTGAACTTTTTGGGTTGGTTTTCCCTGCACAATGTCGTGGACCCAGAACCGTTTTACCACCTTGGTACATACAGCTCGGGCCTTTTCTTAGTGTTTTTCCTCGTTTAATTATACAGACAGGAGATTGACAAGAGTGTTAAGGGATTTAAGTACAAGCTCGACAAAATAAAAAGGAAATTATCTTATCTCAGCAGTAAGTGCTTAATTTCTACAAAATGCATGCTCTTGTCATCCTTTGAATTGTGAAATTTTAGATATAAAATTCTATTGCCTGGGACACTGGGAAGGACCTGATGAACAACAATACCTAGCGCTGTTAGACACAAGAACTGGCGGAGAGCGGAAGCCTCAGTACAGATGTGCCGTGAGTATTAATTTCAAGTCACCTATCGTCTCTTTTCTTTACTGAATACCATTCTAATAACAGGTTGATTTATCTCCTGCTCTGAAACTTTGGTGAATATCTTCAATTTTTACCAAACACACCGAGGCTGCTTGCTGTGTCTTGGAGCAGACTGGGATTTTACCAAGTAGCGAGGGCAGGTTTCCTAGCCTGGGCTTGGGATCAGCTATGGAAAAGCATCTCTTATTTTTTCCGTCTTTTTTGCGGGGGGGAGGGGGTTGTCATCATAAAGTTTACCTGAAAGGTTTTTTTCAATTACTGGATCTGATAGGTAGGTAAGGGTGATTTCACAATTAAAGGAATAGGTAGTCGTTTCGCCGTGGGTTATAAACAACTTAGGGCAAAACGATTGAACACCAAGTTAATAAATAGGTTGATAGGAATGATGTCCCTGAACTGATCCATGCTAAAAAGTATGATAAATTATGATTGTAGTTAATAATATGAGACTTTGAAGGCTGAAAATGTCCGGTTGGTTATGCGTCGCCAACTCTGATTTTAAAGCCAAAAAGCAACTTGCGTCAGTAAATCAGCACTGATCATGGATTCTTTGACGATATTTGCCGAAAGAAGACTCTAATGTTCTAATGTTCATAAGAATCGTGCACTTCTGGAAGAAAGCATGACATTTTCAGGGATTCATCTCTACTCTATAGACATCCCATTTAGACATAGACCCCAAAAATCTGAGCTCCCTGGGGGGCAGGGAGCCCCCAAAGTTTGAATTTTGAATAACTTCTGGACAGTTATTGTTAGTGTAATTTTTTTACAGCAGGACGATGGGAAATTTCATTAGAAACAATTGGTTTCTATGAATTTTTCTGTAGGATCGATATTTAAGGCGCGAAACGGGAAAACTATCGGGGGACGGGGAACCGGCCGTTCTGAGGCAGATCCGCGCGCTGCGCTGCCTGCCGCGGGACGCGCGTGGCGGCGCAGTACGATGTTACCGACGAAACAATAGCTTGTCTTTGTTTTATATCAACGATGCGCATTTTAAAATAATTATGAATATACCATACTGCCCAAATTCTTTTGTTTAATATTATGAGACCTACTTTGTATGAGGAATACATAAAAACAAACACAAGGCAAAATACTCCTAACGTGAGAGCGCCGCACGGTGGATCGAGTCAATAGGAGGGGTTGGTCATCGTGCTTCACATGTCTTGTTTTCTCTAATGATGGAGCTCTCCCGCCCTTAAAAAAGAGCAAATCACCCTGCTTTCTACGTATTTTCCTTCGTAGATTCCAGTTTTGAACATATTTCAGCCGATTAACGAGTTTTAATTCGATTTTGACCCATTTTTTCATGACTATTGTAAATGAGATACTCGATAGCTTATTTGTATTTTCGTTACTTTCAGGGAATGGGACCATAAGCGGCTTACTTACATCAGCTAGAATTTCGCAAAACTTGACTAAATAACAGTACTTGAGGAGTAAGGGGGGCTTTACAGTCCCCTCACCACAAAAGTTGCCATATTTCTCACATTTTCTTCTAACACAGTTTTTTGTTCATGTTAATTGCTTTCTTGCAATTGCATACTAACGCATACTGGACATTCTTACAATATTCATTGTTCTCCTGTTTTCTTCCATCCAGTCGATAGACATTTTCATTTTTATGAACTCCCTTCTTTCAGTTATTCAACAAATAAGCATATTTCAATAAATAGAAAAATACATTAAGTAAATTAAAATAGAGATCTATGTACCATAGATTCTTTTTATAAAGTCATCCTTGAAGATTGTTATAGGTACTTACCACAATATATAGAAAATGGAATATGCAGTGAAAAAAAATCCATGTATATTATCTTCCATTATTTCATTTCGTTCTTTGGAGTTTGGAGTGAAGTTTGTAATATTTTTATTGAAAAAATATCAAGAAAGGAGGAAATTCATTTTTCATGCAGGTTCTGATCCTTTAAAGAACCTCTTAGAAGGACCAGTGCCTCTTGAAGAAATTTCTTGTATTTCTTCTTTTTCAACCCGCAACCGATTTTTTAATCTAGGTATTTTTTATTTTTATGGAGCTCAAAGAAGAGTTCTAGGTATGTTGGAGACATTTTGCAAGAAACAGGAAATGTGAAATGTACAATGCTCAAAACATACACATTAAACTTTATCCCACAGTCACAGTATGTAACCGATGGAATTAACTTCAAAGACTAATAGGAGGTTAATGTTTCGGTGAACATCAAGAAATCAGTCATAATCAGCCATCAGTTGGAAAGTTACCGAGATTAAGGGATAATGTGTGATGCACGATTTTATTGATGATATAAGAGCAATATAAGTTACCCAGCAGGCGCTATTTCCTATCATTCAAACGGACCGTTTTCGCAGATTAGCGGATATTAGCGAGTATAATTATCACGTAATAACATTCCTGATAGTGTACAAGAAGCAGTCCAACTAATAATTTTGGGGAACTTTTTTTTATCAAAGCTTTCCTAACATTTGTTTGGGCGTTTTTTAGAGTAAGTTTCGAAGGTGGTTTTAGTCCTCCTAAGAAAATGCCAAAACATATCAATGATATACCAAAATGTTGCTTAGAGAGAGGAGAATAAGCATGTTTTTATGTATCCTCATTTTTTACAAAATTAAGTTCCCTGTTTTAAAAGTCTAGACGCCATCTCCCGAGAACTTTAGCGTATATAAATATACTTTGATACCATCCTGGTCACGCAGCACCAAAAAAGAAAGAAAAAAAGAAAAAGGCCACTTTAAAATCATTGTTTCACGGCATTGTGGTCTAAAAAGAAGATGTATGATTTTTAGCTCCCCCCCCCCCCCCCAGACACCTGCGCACCAGATTTTATTCCGTTCGATTGATGTTTAAACAGTTTTCACCTATGCTATAATAAACCTCGACAAATCCATACAACAAAACAATCCGGAACCCCAGCACTTAACCACTTCTGTTGCCCTGCGCTCGCTTGTATACATACATTACCTACAAAATTCAAGCCCTAAATTAAAGGTATCCAGGCAGTACTGTATATTGCAATCTTCAAGGATGGCTTTATAAAAAGAATCTATGGTACATAGATCTCTATTTTAATTTACTTAATGTATTTTTCTATTTATTGAATTATGCTTATTTGTTGAATAACTGAAAGAAGGGAGTTCATAAAAATGAAAATGTCTATCGACTGGATGGAAGAAAACAGGAGAACAATGAATATTGTAAGAATGTCCCGTATGCGTTAGTATGCAATTGCAAGAAAGCAATTAACATGAACAAAAAACTGTGTTAGAAGAAAATGTGAGAAATATGGCAACTTTTGTGGTGAGGGGACTGTAAAGCCCCCCTTACTCCTCAAGTACTGTTATTTAGTCAAGTTTTGCGAAATTCTAGCTGATGTAAGTAAGCCGCTTATGGTCCCATTCCCTGAAAGTAACGAAAATACAAATAAGCTATCGAGTATCTCATTTACAATAGTCATGAAAAAATGGGTCAAAATCGAATTAAAACTCGTTAATCGGCTGAAATATGTTCAAAACTGGAATCTACGAAGGAAAATACGTAGAAAGCAGGGTGATTTGCTCTTTTTTAAGGGCATGAGAGCTCCATCATTAGAGAAAACAAGACATGTGAAGCACGATGACCAACCCCTCCTATTGACTCGATCCACCGTGCGGCGCTCTCACGTTAGGAGTATTTTGCCTTGTGTTTGTTTTTATGTATTCCTCATACAAAGCAGGTCTCATAATATTAAACAAAAGAATTTGGGCAGTATGGTATATTCATAATTATTTTAAAATGCGCATCGTTGATATAAAACAAAGACAAGCTATTGTTTCGTCGGTAACATCGTACTGCGCCGCCACGCGCGTCCCGCGGCAGGCAGCGCAGCGCGCGGATCTGCCTCAGAACGGCCGGTTCCCCGTCCCCCGATAGTTTTCCCGTTTCGCGCCTTAAATATCGATCCTACAGAAAAATTCATAGAAACCAATTGTTTCTAATGAAATTTCCCATCGTCCTGCTGTAAAAAAATTACACTAACAATAACTGTCCAGAAGTTATTCAAAATTCAAACTTTGGAGGCCGCCTGCCTCCCCAGGGGGCTCAGATTTTTGGGGTCTATGCCTAAATGGAATGTCTACAGGGTAGAGATTAATTCCTGAAAATTTCATGCTTTTTTCCAGAAGTGCACGATTCTTATGATATTTTTCAGTTACCAGCCCCACTATAGGAGTTTCAAAACTGTCATCAAATTGTTTGCTGAAGTTTTCTCCACCAAACCATTACTAATAAGTCGGCTTTTTCTACACTGAAAACTTTAATTTGTATGCAAACCAGTGATATTTAGGTCTGTGGTACTAATTACACACTACACAAGATCCTCAATTTAATATACGAGGGTCATCCAAAAAGTAAGATTCCCTATCTTGTATCTTCCGAACCAAAAGAGATAAATCAAATCGATAAATAGACACATATGAGCATATCATTACATCAGCTTCTTGATTCCGTCCGCGTAAAAGCTTTCGCCTTGGCTCCGAAATCAGTCATTGACAGCCATCTGCACTTCCAAATCTTAATTTTTGACCGAGTTATGATAGTTCAAAGTTCAAATTTGAACTATGTTCAATAAATCATAACTCCGGTTCAAATTATTGTAGAGAAAAAAATAAGACAGGAAAATTTACCAAATTGTAAGCACTTTTAAGTATAAATCACAGAAATCACTTAAATTTTATTTTAAGGGGAGGGGGGGGTTCGGACCCCTAAATACGTTAGTTCAAAGGTAATACGATTTTCCCGCGAAATGAGCCAATTTCCCTTTACTTTGCCTCAACATTACCTCGGTAAGTTCAAAATTAGTTCAACATTGCATTTTTTTTTTTTTTTTGGTAACATATTTTATTTGTTTCTTTTATTACAAATTGGAATGGGCCGACAGCAGCCCCACCCGAAATGGGAAGATTCATATCATACAAATTTGGAA